TATGCTTTTAGATTACTACCGCTTAATTGTACAATTATCACTCATGTTTGCATTTCAGTTAAGTCATTTTGCTAGTGTTCCTATTGAATCTGTCAGTTGCACACATCTGTGAAATTTGCATTGCAATGCAAATTTGTAGGGCTGCCACAAACAACTTTTCAGTGGCTTTATCGACTATTTTATAGATTAAATCGACCAATCTATATTTTCTTCCAGGAAATAGACCATTTAATTTGTAATAAAATTATTACAGGGCTTCACATAATGGATGACAGATTTTCGGCACTATACAGATATTATTTTCGCCAACAATTCAATAAGCAATTTGGTAGTATGCTTAAAATATTAATTAGGTGCTTATTGTGATGCCCAAAACTTGGTAATCTGTATAAATTCGGCATATCATGTTTATTAAATTCGGTTGGCTTAGCAACCACAATATCTTTTAAAAGATGAGAAATTGGAATAAATAAGCTAAAAAGATGGTGGTGTGGCAGAACTTTTTGCTGATTTAAAGTCCGACTTTTTTTTTGGTAAGTAGTTTTTATTTCACAAATTTTCTTATGTAGTGTCCATTTTCCTTCCAGTTTTAGTTTACGATAGTAATACTGGTCCCAACAAGCCCAATGTGCACAAACACACTGGCATCGTCAGTCCACGTAGAATAAGCCTAGATTTCAGCCTAAACATGTTCTCAAACACTTATTCAATAGAGATTCTAAGGTGGCAGGCTGACAACTTTATGGCTTTAATAATGAGTGCATTTAGTACCTACAAGGACAAAACATATTAAAATTTCTCCGTACTAGGGGTGCAATGATTATTCAACATTGTTGACAAAAATCGACAATAAAAATAGTCGCCAAATCTTATTGTCGATAATTGTCACCAGACGTATTTTTAAACGGAGTGAGACGTTTTCCTTCCTTTCTACCTGTATAATGCTACCGCTTTCCAATAGACTGCACCAATACACCACACTGGTGAGATTCGCTCTTGCGCAATAGCATTCAGCGACAGGTAGAATAACGGCGGCCACAAATCGAGCATCATTGTGTATTAAACGCTCTAAAATCTGGGACACATGGATTAAAGTTTTCGGTCGCTATGACGGATTTCCGTCAACTGAGTGCACTAAAGGTTAATGAGATTTATGTAAATCCAAAGGAAAAAAATGGGTGGACTGGAAAGGCTGTATTTAAATCGTAATTAAACAAAAGAATTATTCTTCCTAAAAATAAACATTATGGTTTCGGCAGTTCGCTTAAACATTGACGGCTGCGGAGTAGCCTACAGCCTGCAAGCTATTTCCCAACGCGTGTTTAAGATGCCAGACTTCATAGTAAGGAGAAAATAATTCCCCAGCATTTAGTCTCACATCAGTCTCAAAGGCTTTTAATGTCCCAAAACAAAGACAAGATCTGCAAAAGGGTGAATGGCACCGGCTTCCTGTTGCCTGGCGTATCCAATAATAATAATAGTAACAATAATGATATTTTATTAATAATTGGGCTTAATAATAGGCTGTAGTATATTTTACATTTTCAAAAAAGATCGGAATAGAACGTATTTATGTTTGGAAGTCAGTGGTGTGTCATGAAGTGTCTCATTCACTAATAGTAGCTAAAAAAGATCTGAAAACAGTGGAGAAAACCCATTGCATAAATAGATAAAGAAGCCAAAACTCTGAAGCTCAAGATTCAGGACCGTGGCTCCGATGTCGCAAGTGCTGCAAGAGCTTATGCTCCGTTAAAAATAAATAACAGCAGTTTTGTAGTCCGTTTTCTTGCTGTTAACATAGGAATGGCAATAGGAAGCTGCTCTAAATTTCCCGTATTTTGGGTCGGGATCGTGGGATTTTTCAGCCTGCTTTAAAATGAGTTTTTATTTATAAACATAGGCTATATAAATAGCTGCTATGACAAGAAATTACCGTGCATTTTAACTATACCGCAAATGAAGTATGAATTAGCATATACAGGTTAAAATGCACGATAATTTCTTGTTATATCAACGTAAATGCACATAAAATACGTCACAGCAATGGATTGCCGCACGTATCGCTTTTAAAGGTGAATGCATACCAGTTATATGCAGCCCTGATTATAACAAAGATTGTATCAGAATTTCGGATCGGTATCGGTGCCGATCCAGACCTATTTGACGGATCGGGTATCGGCCAATGTGTGACCAATCCACATCCTATACTTACTTATTTAGTTTTTGGCAGTCTTTAAAAAGATAGCTCCTATTTTGTGTTAAATCTATTTGCATATTTGCTATTGTACCATGGTGCAGTTGAACACAGAGGATCAGAAATGATTTTGCGATTTGGTGTTCAAGATGCTGGACCATTTTTAAAACTTGCTCCTAAAACTAGGTGAACCAGTATACAGTTTGCAGTGTTCTTCCTTTGAGATGGTGTTTAAAGTTGAATTTGTGGCTTAGATTTAAAAACTGTTACTGTTTATATGTGGAAACAAGTCATTCTCACAGATGACCTACATTGAATAAATCCACTAACACTGCAGACTTGTTGGATTTCAATTACATATTTTTCTTATGCATTTCACAATAAAATATTGAGAAATAAAACCAACAGGTAGTCTTTTACAAGACATAAACAGTTGCAGTGATACCTTCTCATATCACAAGTGGCAATATGAATTTTCCTTCCACACATTGCATTAATACAGGGACTGAGAATAAAAATGTTCCTATAAAAAGAGATGTTTTACCTTGAGTTCTTTAAAAAGCTTAACAGACACTAATAATTACGAAACTTTGACCAAACACTATTTATAGTAGCATAAAACAATAGCTCAGACTTCTGGTTACTTAAGTGTTGTCATCAAGTGCATTTAACTCATCAAAATTAGATTGTGCACAAAAGGCACATAATAGCATACAAATGTTTTTGTTTTTTTCCCCCCAACTGTTTGCAGTAGACCACACCACCACCCTATCCACCAAATAATGCTTTGCCCTTGGTTATTTTGAGGTTCTAGTGGCCTTGTTTTGCTAATTACAGCCTGTGTTACATCTCGACAAGTCATTCACAGACCTGAGAAAAAGTTGTACCAACTATCTATGAATAATGATAACTTGTAAATGATCTGACAGTTTTTTTCATCCTCTGCAACATGCAGGACATAAACATATCCATATGTTATGTGGAATTCAAGCGCAAGTTATTTCTCTTAAGTTTGGCGTAGAAGTATTACTTGGTAATTTAATAGTCAAACAATGCCCCATATCTTAATAGTAAATCCCTGCTTCCTCAATAAAGGAAAGCTGCTAATATGCAGGTGTCAAATATATCCACATCATAAGTCGTCTTTTACCAGTAGTTATTTTTTTCAGCCTCAGGAGTATTTGGTATCAGAGATCTTCTTCCACAAGAGGGTCTTGAGGTTGTTAAGGACAAGCGAATGGTGGACCTCCATCTGGCTGGCGAGGCCGCTGAGTGTCACACAGGTGCGTAGCTGCTTCTCTAGGTCCACACGCAGATCTGAAGGAGAACCAAACAGCAGGTAGTCCTGTAGCAACCTGCACACCTTGGCCAGGTTAGGCTGCACCACCTCAGTGTTGCACTGCTTGACCAGCTTGTCGCAGGTGGCAGTGCAGTCCTTGCCATAGGTGCAGTCCGTGTTTGACTCGCAGTGGCGACCCTTCAGGAAGTTCCGTACTGCCACCTCAGATGCCACGTGACGCAGGTCTGCCATCTTACAATCATACTTCCCATTATAGCCCACCTGCCACGGACTCGCGTTACACATGAAGAAGCTGCCATAAGAGCCATGGAAGATCTCCTCTACAAACTCCAGGAGCCCGATTGTAATTCGAGCTCGCCGGGGCCAGGCTGGGGCTAGCCATTGGTTTATAGTAGTACTTAGGACTGTGGGAACCAGTGGCTGCAGGTAAGGAGGAATCTCCAACTTGTAGAGGGCACTGTGGCCCACCTGTTCTGTGACATACAGATCTCCGCAGAAGCCAAGCAGGTTTGGGGTGTGCTCCTTCTCTTGCAAAGCCATCATCAGAAGGAATTCATTGACTTGCAGCAGTGCCCACACAGACTTTGCCTCTGCCAGAGAGACCTTTCCATCCTGATTGACATCAGCTAGGTCCATGATATGACTTACCAAGGTTCCAAGTGAGGAATGGTCCCCGAGATTTCCCTGCAATATTGATGAAAAGATTGAGAAGTCAAACCTGTATTTACACTGTTAGCACTAAATTTGACCAAACTAAATAGCAGTCTTGCATCAGAAAGCAAAACCTTTGACTTTTAAATTACCGAAAATTTAGCATGTTTAACTTTGAATGATCAGGAATAAAATCAATGACATTTGTTTTTACATTTCCTGTGGAAATGATAAGAGAGAGAACCTTGAGGAAATTTTGCAGCATTTCCCGAAACTCATCCATGGAGGTGCCCCTGCTTGGCTTGTTGAAGAGGGCCATCTCCTGTCGAAGCATGGAGTCTGGACTCCCATCCCGCCTCGAGCCATCTTCAAGTCCACACTTTATAACCACTGACTTCTCCTTCCAAACTCCATTGTACACCTGCAAGACAATATGATTCCAGCAAATGATGTTGCCACAGACTAAGAGAATAATGAAATTCTTGTCTCGTGCTTTTGTTGAAGTGATTTTCATGTTCGCTTAATTGCTGATTGGAAAGCAAACTGTAGATTTAACATCCTTGACTCATCAGGGTTAATGCAACAGATTTCCCATATGTGATGGTGTACAACTGAATTAAACCATGAGGAGCCATGAGAGGCATGTCAAATTGTGCCAGGAGACATTATCTTTAGTGATATAAAACTAGTAGCTAGAGTTCCTGGTGTGGTAGGGAGTAAAGTCCCCTATCAGATAGGGACTAGAGTTCCTGGTGTGGTAGGGGGTAAAGTTCCCTACCAAGAATGTGGGTGGTTAATGTCCTGTGTCTTATTTATTATTATTATTATTATTATTATTAT